TAATTTGCATATTGCCCTGATTAGCCAATGGGAAGGGTAGCAGTCGTATGCCAATTACCATGTTTCTCTTTTAGTAGATAGGATACTTAGAGGCCTGGTGCACAAAATTCGTGCATGAGTAGGATCCCTAGGCCTAGCTGGTGATCAGGGATGATCGGGGCCCTCTGGCTGTTGGCCAGGGCCTCCCTTCCCTGGCTGCCAGCTGCCAGCCATGGCCTTCCTTCATTCCACGCTTCCTCTTGGTGGTCAGCACACATCATGGTAAGTGATATAACTCTCAGTCTCTTGGTCAAACTCCCACGGGGACACTTTGCATATTAGCCTTTTATATAGAGAGATAGAGCTGATGGAAAGAATAACTCAAGGTTTGATGCTGTTGAGAAGCTTACTTCTTGCTCTTTCAAAAATGTGTGAGCTTTCTTTTATATCTTAGGATTTAGGGGTTTTTGAGTAATTCAGAGGCAACAAAAGTTTTCCAGCCCAAAGAACTTAATTTTCTTCTAGTTATAACTAATAAATAATTGTTTACCACTTAACAATAAAAAGATGAAAGAATAACAACTCAATGGTAAGTGGGTGGACATGACTTGTATTTGATAGGTATACAGTGTCTGAAGCTGGCCTTTCATTCTTCACCACTCCACAGGATGGTCATATTTATTTACTGACCTGATTCTGTATGTAGGCGTGCCCTCTGGGCTGACAATTCATTTATTAAGCGTTGTTGCTCCTCTTCCTTTGTTTTCACTTCACTAAGCTGGTCCTCTAGTGTGCGGCACATTTTCTCAAAGTTTATCTGTGGTTGGAAATACTGAGCATAGACTATGGTTTTCAGATAAGTTTTTTTAAATTGCATTCTTTCATAAAGTTTAAAGTGATTTGTTCATATAAATGAAATGATTCAGTTCAATGCAGTGATACCTAATAGGAATAATTTTAATACTTGAGGTAATGAAGTGTGTACAGTTAGATTAGATTGCCATGTATAAACTTGGTCATTTTGAATTGTTGCAAATAAAGATGAGATAAACAAATTAATAAAAACCTTAGCTTTGGAGATAGTCTCCAAGAAGTGTGTATAGTTAGATTAGATTGTCATATATAAACTGATCGTTTTGAATTGTTGCAAATAAAGATGAGTTAAACAAGTTAATAAAAACCTTAGCTTTGGAGATAGTCTCCATGTTACTAGCGAGGTCATCAATCTCCATCTTCATCTCACTCTTCTCCTTCTCCAGCTTCTGCTTGACCCTCTGCAGGTTGTCTATCTGCTCCCCAAGTTCAGCCACACTGTCTGCGTGCTTCTTCCTCAGGGTGGCTGCCGTGGCTTCGTGCTGCAGGGTGGCCTCCTCCAGGTCCCTGCGCATTTTCTGGAACTCGGCCTCCCGCTTCTTGTTCATCTCAACCTGGGCTGAAGTTGCCCCACCAGCTTCCTCCAGCCGCTCACTGATCTCCTCCAGTTCCCGGGAGAGGTCCGAGCGCTGCTTCTCTGCTTTGGCCCGAGAGGCCCGCTCTGCCTCGATTTCCTCCTCCAGCTCCTCAGTGCGGGCCTGGGAATAACAATATTAATGTGAATTCGTGGCAGTTTTGATTCCTGTAATGCCTAGAAAAGGTGGAATTTATGACTTACCTGTAACTCCTTGATCTTCTTCTGCAGCTGCATCCCAAGGGCCTGTTCATCTTCAATCTTGCTTTGTAGATTGCTCATTTCAAACTCTTTCCTGTTATAAGAGTATCACATCAGCTCACAGTCAGTTCTCCTACCAGTCTTCTTGTGTGTGTGTAATTGAATGTCTGTATAATGCTGGTGTTGACGAAGTGAGTAGTACATGTTTTACATGTCAAGCATCTACTATTTTCATTAAATAAAAAATGAAAGATGTCTTTTTTTTATATGCCATGAAGTACTATTTTAGAGATTGTTAAAGCATGTATTTCATCTGAACTGACAATTAGAAGGTTACCTTTGAATTATTTCATACTCACTTTTTTATTTTCTCATCAAGTTGTTGTTTGTCATTTTCTACATCCATTGTGGATTCTTGGGAAATTAATCAGTACTTAAAAGTTTATGAGCATCATTTATGGTTATGTGTTACATTCTTTATTTCATCTTAAGGGAAAACACTGGGTTTTTCACACTTACATCATCCACTTGCTGCTCTAGCTTGGTTTTAGCTTTGGTCAGGGTGTTGACTTTGTCCTCTTCTGCCTGCAGGTCATCCAGGGTCTGCTGGTGGGCCTCTTGGAGGGCCTTCTTCTCCTTGGTCAGCTTGGCTATGGTTTCATCCAGGCCTGCCATCTCCTCTGTGAGGTTTTTCACCTTTAGATTTGGAAAATTTACAGGAATGTTAATGACATCCTGCAGTCTTGATGAAAAACATGGTACTCTCTTAGGACATGTCAGCCGGATGCAAAAGGGAAACTACAAACTAACCCAAGCCTATGTAGCTGAAAAATAATGCGCAATAAAGATAAAGACTAACTAGTTGACATAATTATGACTGTATTTTCTTATCAAATTCAATAATTTAAAGATAAAATTTCAATTAAAATATTTTAGTAACAAGCTAACCCCTGCAAATACTCTAAAATGGATCATGATTTGTACCTTGTTCTCTGTGGCATGCTTTTCCTTTTCAACCTTGGCCAGTGTCAGCTCAAGGTCATCGATGTCTTTCTTCAGTTCTGAACATTCGTCCTCCAGTTTCCTCTTCTTGGCCGTCAGCTCAGCATTGATCTCTTCCTCATCCTCGGCTCTCTCGGTCACCTCTTTGATTTTGGCTTCAAGCTGGATTTTGGTTTTGATCAGCTGGTCACATCTTTCCTCTGCATCAGCCAAGCCTTCAGCTTCCTGAAGGGGGAAATGAATTATTTTTATTTGTCTAAGCTATATCTGCAAACACATACTAATTTATTAAAAGGTGGAAACTTCAGTGACTCAACCATTTTGGTCAACATATATATGCCAACTAACTTGACAATTCTAAAAAATCAGGAGGACAGAATGTTAGTAATTTCAAATTATTATGATTAAATATAATAACAGATTTCCTCCAAATAGTTATCCATGAAAGGTCAGTAATGAAAAAACATTCTAATCTAAGAGAAGGTTCTATAAAGAAATGAAATTGCCTAGGATATTTTTATGAGTGGTCTCATTGATGATCACATATGAACATATGCAGCATAATTTGTGACTTTGCATCTATTGAATGCACATATGAACATATGCAGCCTAAGTTGTGACTTTGCATCCATCTATTGCTTCTTTAGGTCTTAGTCTTGGTATTTTTGAAAGGTAAACAATTACACTAAATGTTTCAGTGGAAACCATTTATTTATAAACCTTAAATTAAAAAAAGTTCTCATATCAAGTCAGCTAGTGATTGGATAAGATGTGAACTGTGCAATGTACAATACTCACAGATTGAACCTGGAGTTGTAGTTCGTTTTTCTCTTGCATCAGAGCAACCATTTTCTCTTCAAGTTCTTTCCTTTTTGCCTCTGATTTAACCAGATCATCTTTGGTTTTCTCAAACTCTTCCTTCATGTTGGCCATCTCCTTCTCTGTCTCAGCACTCTTGAGGAGGGGCTTGATCTTGAAATACAGCTTCATCCAGGGCCAGTGCTTCACATTCATGAAGGCGCGGACATTGTACTGGATGCAGAAGATGGCCTCTCTGTAGGAAAGAAAAAAAGATGCAAATCAAAAAGAATGTTGAATGTGTCCATTCCTCAACAAAAGTAATGACTTCATCAGATTCAACTATTAAAATGTGGAGAAGGGGTACTTGCGCTTGATCCCTCACCTCCTCTCCATCATCTTCTTGAACTCCACTCTCATCAGGAACCCTCTGCACATGGCTTGAGTGCGTGTGATGAGTTGAGCTAGCTTATCATCTCGCATCTCCTCTAGAGTTCCCAGCAGGCCAGCTTTAAAGAAAACCTTGCCCAAGAGCAAATGGAATATGTTATTTTCATTCATGAGAAAATCCAAAGGAAATGAAGTTATGATAGATAGACATTTGCGTTGGTGGTACCTTCGTATGACCAAATTTGTACTGGGTGTGGTCAATGTCAATAGAACCTAGAAGTTTCTCAGAAGCCTTCTTGCTGTCAATGAACTGACCCTCTGGGATAGCACTTGCATTTAGAATCTTGTATCTGTCAGAATAAAAAGAATATTAAAATATGGCTTATCTTTACTGAAATAAAGAAGGTAGAACTCTTGGTAGCTGTCATTGACAAAATTATTGATATTTGGAGGAAAAGATTGCATTCAAATAAACAGTGCTTTATTTGAAACTTGCAAAAAGATGATGAAAAACTTATCATATAAACCAAGACTTCGTTCTTTATGGTCACCTTTCAAATAATCGCATTTTTGTATTCAAGGAAAAGTGAAAAAATGTTTGAAATACGTGGCAATTTTGATACAGACTGACACATTGAAAGTGATAAATAATGACACAAACCTTTGTTTGAAGTCTGCATAAATGATTCTGCTTGGGAATCCCTTCCTGCAGATGCGGATGCCTTCCAGCACACCATTACACCGCAGCTGGTGCAGGACAAGTTCATGCTCCATGGCCCCTGAAAGAAAGATATGTTTTGTGCCTAAAAGTCTAATGAAAAGTCACACCGGAATCTTATTTGGATAATCAGAAATGTCTTACCAGGAGTTTTAGTTTCATTGGGAATGAGACAGCGTACAAAGTGGGGATGAGTGCTCTTCAAGTTGGTCATCAGCTTATTCAAATTCTCCTATAAAACCATATGAAAAGTTTTAGGGTAATTTCTAGTGGCATTTACATAAGAGTCCCAATCAATGATCTGTAATTAATGAGTTCTTGTTTCACGTTTTAATGAGCTGTCTCAGTGAAGAACAAATCGTGATAACAAAGAGAAATAATATACATGGTGTATAGATAGAAAATTATGGATTACACAAAACTAGTCAATTTCATTTTATTTTTCTCAAGCACTGCCAATCAGAGGAAATTTATATTAAGACTTTGGTCATATGAAATAGATGTAACTGGTTGTTTTTAAGAAAGGGTTCGAATTCATGTGAAATTTGCTTAATGCCAGATCCTTTAGATTTGG